ACATCTATCGTCCTTATCTCTCCTCCTTCTTTCCTATCAAACATCTATCGTCCTTATCTCTCCTCCTTCTTTCCTATCAAACATCTATCGTCCTTATCTCTCCTCCTTCTTTCCTATCAAACATCTACCGTCCGTATCTCTCCTCCTTCTTTTCTGTGTTTGTTACTCTCTTGTAACACATCTAATCTTCGACACGTTGTACTTAATTGTGATGCAAATGCTGTAGAATGTTTACTAACGTTCTTAAACAATCCACTCAACAGGAAAGCCCCATTCAAGAGGATCAAGTCGGAATATATTTTCTTTGGTGAAGCAGCAGTTTAAAGAACACCAAAAGTTTTTCGAGAGTGCCAGAAAGAGTCATCATGGCTAAATTGGAAGGGAAACATTTTGACATAGATCTAGTTGTCATCCAAGTATAATAGTAGCCTATATAATAATAATAATAGATAATAATAGATAGCATTTGTATAGCGCATATCCCCGCTCAACAGCAGGCTCTATGCGCCTTACATATATTATATAGATCTGCTCCAACATAAGAACATGGCAAAGAGCAGTAGAGACATTTTATTAAGATTTTGATAAGGCAACGAACCAACTAAAATTTCAGCACGATATAAAGCTAGTCATAGGGGACCTTAACGCGCGAGTAGGAGATCCACTCAAAGAAGATTATAGATGAGCCATAGGGTATACGTTCTCTGAGCATCTCAAGGCCATAGGGAATGGAGTATGGATAAAGAGAATGAACGTGGTGAATGACTCATACAGTGGTGCAGAGAAAATCAGTTCGTGATTTTAAACACCTTCATGGTAGGGATCAAAATCACCTGAGCAGACGATACACTTGGAATGATGAAAATAGAACTTAGGAACCAAGCCGGTAGAATAGGCTAACACTAACAATGTCACCTTAGCAGAGACTGTACCTTCTATTTTATTTCGGAACTTCACGGTGACATTAGAGATGGTTCCAGTAGGGAACGGGATAGCGGGTGCCACGTCCCTCGTGACTCATTGGAGCAGAGGAAGATATACATATATAGGACTAACGCTAACATTAATAAAATGCAATCTCACATCATCACTCATCACCACCATTATCTAAAATCATTATTGCTGTCAGATCAATGACTTACATCTACAATCCTGGAATCTCTATCTGTAACGGTTACTTGTTATACTAAGTATGCACGTAATACACCATTGGACACTATCATATGCATTTTTTCTACTAATCAAATGGCGTCAATATTACATAAACGGGCAAAGGATTTAAAAAAATAAAAAAATAAATAAAACATTCTATAAACCAAACAGACGTCAGACTCATTCAGGAACGTTCCAGAAAGCGAGGAGCAGCTTGTAGTGGTAAATGGCACGGTGTGCTATACAGTCACGTGGTCACGTGTAAAAGGGGCTGACAAAATGTCCACAAGTCAAAGCAGCGACCCACATTTTAAATAGACCTTTAGCGACAAATCAAGAAGTGAAACAACGTTTCTTTATTGATGAAAGCTTTGAAAAACATTACTAAATCGGAAGATCTACAGGGGGGAAACGAAATTAAGATGGAGCAATTAGGGAAGCTAGTGTTTCCGGTGAAAGCTAACAAAGTAAATATACAAATGGATAACCTGGGACATATTATTATATCATTATCAAAACTAAGGGAAGAGAAAAGGCAGACAAAATCAGATTAAATGTGGAAATGTTTACCACATTAAATGGGGGAAGGAAAGTAAAAATGTTGTGAATAAATATGGATAAATGATCAGTGTCGACAAATAAATAGGGATTCATGTAAGCTAGGTTGACAAGAGTAAATACTCGCGCACACTCATGCAAAGAGAGAGATGGACATAGTTAGACAGAGAGAGAGAGAGAGAGAGAGAGAGAGAGAGAGAGAGAGAGAGAGAGAGAGAGAGAGAG